TTTATTCTGGGATCTATTGGGGCATGATCAGCTAACACTGGGAACAGCCATGCCTAAACTACAAAGCTCAAAGTTGGGTTGGGTCGTCGCTGGACCAATTACAACTAAGTTCCCCAATCATTCATTATCAAAAAACGTTTTATGCAATATATCAATCAATGATGATAGTGAGTCTAACATTGATGCACAGCTGTCCAAGTTTTGGGAATTCGAACAGGTTCCTGAAAGACCATATCAATCTAAAACAGAAAAGGCGTGTGAAGACCATTTTTATCGCAATACTTATCGCTTAGACACGGGTAGATTCTGTGTAAGATTACCCTTAATAGACACACCAGACTGCTTAGGCGATTCGTATACAATTGCTAAAAGGCGACTAATTAGCTTAGAAAAACGCTTCCGAAAAAACCCAAATCTTAAGGCCAAATATGTAAACTTCGTTCAAGAATATGCCGATTTAGGTCATTTAGAAGAATGCCCTACTAATAGGCCGTCTCCATCCTACTATCTTTGCCATCATGCTGTATTCAAGGAAAATAGCGAAACCACCAAGACCCGTGTGGTGTTTGATGGTTCCTTACGTACTGCCTCGGGATTCTCTCTCAACGACATACAAATGATAGGACCTACAGTGCAAGACTCTCTCTTCTCCATTTTAATCCGAGCGCGCCAATACAAGTATATTTTGACTGGAGATATCGAAAAAATGTACCGTCAGATTGAAATAGACGAGCGCGATCGCAATTTACATTTAATATTATGGAGAAGTGACGAGTCCCGTCCAATTCAAACTTTACGTCTCAAAACTGTCACTTATGGACTTGCAAGTGCAGCTTATTTGAGCACGAAGTGTTTGTCGTTGTTGGGAGACACCTGTGAGGATCAGCTCATCGGTACCATAATTAAACACGACTGTTATGTCGATGATTTGATTACAGGATCAAATGACGCATCTAAATTGCTTTACATACAGCATATGGTCGCATCCACCTTGAAGCTTGGTTGCTTCAATCTACGTAAATACAAGTCAAATCTGCCGAGCATATTGACTTCATCGGTAGTCAATAAAGATGAAAAGGTAAGCTTAAGTGAATCAACAAGCACACTAGGCTTAAACTGGAGTCCTACAACCGATACTCTACACATTTCAATCGAGGCTCCCAATAAAGATCAAATAATAACAAAGAGATCAATTCTCTCAAGTTCATTTAAAATTTTTGATCCGCTCGGACTCTTAAGCCCATGCATTATTCTGCCCAAATTACTATTGCAATCATTATGGCGAGATAAAAGGGACTGGGACGATCCTGTGAATGCAGAAATACTTAAATCATGGAACGAGTTTGTCAATAATTTACATTTTGTTTCTAATCTTCAAATTCCGCGATTAGTCTTATGCGAATCTCCTGATAATATTGAAATACATACCTTTAGTGATGCCTCTCAGGTAGCTTATGGTGCCTGCTTGTACTTACGATCATCCAATTCGGTCGGAGGGAATATGGTCCGTTTACTTTGTGCTAAGTCTAAGGTTGCACCCTTGAAGCCAACAACTATCCCACGACTAGAGCTCTGCGCAGCTCTTCTGGCTGCCAAATTATGTAAGGCTGTTACCAGTTCGCTACGGTACGAGGTAAATCGCCTGGTACACTGGTGCGACTCAAGCGTTGTGCTGAGTTGGCTTTCATGTAACGCTAAAAAATTAAAACCCTTTGTAGCCAATAGGGTTCTTGAAATCCATGAACTTACCGATTGCTCCTCATGGCGGTATGTACCCACCAGCCTGAATCCGGCCGACCTTATCTCAAGGGGGATAAATCCTAAACAAATTAAAACTCTTAACTTATGGTGGTCAGGCCCTAATTTTTTGTTGCAACCTGAAGTCAATTGGCCTAATTTAAATAAATTGTCAAATGAAGTCGATTTACCAGAGGTAAAGTCTAATCCTGTAATGAATCAAATGGACTACTCTGATCCTTTGCAAATAACCAAATTTTCATCATTTACTAAACTAAGGCGAACATTTGCGTATATTTTCCGATTTTTTTATAATGTTCGCAATTCTAATAACAAGGTACTAGGTCCGTTTACTGTTAAAGAACTAGATTTTGCATTCACTCGTTTATGTATAGCGGCTCAACAAGAGTCTTTCCCTATAGAATATAGCACTTTGTCAAAGGGGAAATCTTTGAGCACTAAGTCAACGATTTTGTCACTTTCACCATTTCTTGATGAGAAAGGGGTCATTAGAGTTGGTGGTAGAATTGAAGCATCAAACTACAGCTACTCCAAAAGACACCCTATTCTTTTACATGCCTCTCATCACCTAACTAAACTTTATTTCAATTACCATCATTTGTCTTACCTACATGCTGGCCCTCAATTGTTATTGGCTAGTGTTAGAGAGACGGTATGGCCTATCAATGGTAGGCATTTAGCACGCCGCACAGTCCATAATTGCGTTACGTGTAGACGAGTACAAGGTAAAACGATAACTCCTATTATGGGAAATCTACCTGCACAGCGTGTGACGCCCGATTACCCATTTATAACTGTTGGTATTGACTTTGCTGGTCCTTTTTACACGCTTAATAGGAAGGGTCGAGGCGCCCGACTGGCTAAGTCATACATGTGCTTGTTCGTGTGCTTTAGATACAAATGCGTACATCTAGAAGCCGTTAGTGACTTGTCTAAAGATGCGTTTATTCTGACACTACGTAGATTTGTTTCTAGACGAGGTAAGCCAGCGGAGATATTCTGCGACAATGGTCGCAACTTTGTTGCTGCGTCAAAGGATATAGGAAATTTTCTAAAGGAAAATAAGGATGACATAACCAATTGTGCAGCGGATGAAGGCATAAGGTTTGTGTTTTCTCCTAGCTATGCTCCAAATTTCGGTGGCATCTGGGAGGCCGGAGTTAAGTCCGTCAAGCACCACATTAGGCGTGTTATGGGCAATACTCACTTGACGTTTGAGGAGATATCTACTCTCTTTGCTCAAGTTGAGGCGGTGCTAAACAGCAGACCTTTATGTCCACTTTCTCCTTCTCCCAATGATTACCATTTCCTTACCCCAGGGCACTTTTTAATAGGTCGCGCACTAAAGGATCTACCAGTTCCACCACTTGAAGACCACAATCAAACCAATGTAAAACGTTACGCAAGACTTCAACAAATACGTCAACATTTTTGGCAACGTTGGCAAAGTGAGTACATAGCAGAATTACAGCAGCGTTCCAAATGGCGCACTAACACTACATCACTTCGTGTAGGAGACTTGGTACTTCTGCAAGAAGACAACGTGCCTCCACTCAGCTGGCGCCTGGGGCGTGTCAGCCGCCTGTTCCCTGGAGCCGACGGGGTGTCACGCGTCGCGGACATCACCACTACAAGAGGCTGTCTTCGAAGACCATTGACTCGGATCTGTCCCTTGCCTACCGCCGACTTCTTTGAAGATTAGGTTGAAAGTAGACTTTCAACGTGGGGGAAGATGTTCACGCCTATTAAAACAATCTAACCACAGACAATCAAGAATCGATCTTTATGCGACGGACATTTTTATTTTTTTGAAGGCAATATTTTTTCACTGCCACCCACAACTCATAGCTAAATATTGTAGTAAAAAACGCAAGTCATTACTTACGAAAATTCGTCTAGAATATACTGTAAATGTTATCTTAGACAATTATATCAACATTTTAAGTAAGAAAAGAGGTTTTATTTGATACGAAAACCTACAGTTTGTCGAATACTAGACACCTCCTTTCTAGTGAGAGGTTTATGTCCAGCAGTGGACTATTATAGGCTGTTGATGTGATGATGTGACGTCTTAAACATGAATTCAGTCAAAATCGATTTCTCAGAGGTCGACATAAACGAAAACTGATTTTGGGGGTCGACGAAGTCCTAAAATCGACCATCAACAAACAAAAATTCTTATTTGAAACTTTCAAGATACTGTGGTATTTATGTTTTTTGACGTTTTATATTATTACGTATAATGTAATGATATTTGTATTAAAAATAATTATTACACTTGATATTTACTGAATTTTAAATAGATTTATGTTGTTAAATTTTGATGAGAAAATTTACTCACTAAACCAACCTCACAGTTTTTAAATTAGGAAATATTTTGTATTAATAGGAAAAAACTAGAGATAGGATTTTTACAGTAATGGGAGTTTGCGATATCAGTTCATTTTAGAAAAAGAGTCTCTTGCACAAAATAGTTTGGGAATCCCTGATTCAAACTATTGTGTCATCAATTTGAATTGCGTGTTGTTTTTTACAATTAAAATTGATTTAAATGTTTAATTTTCATTTCAGAAATGTGTATGTAAACGACTGCACCACTTATCACTACCAAAAGATTATATCTCATTATTCACGCTTCAAAATGTTATAAAATGACTCATTACGATCGTGGTTTCCTTGAAAATGGTACAAAAAGTTTTTACGACGTCGCGGTTGTAGTACGATAGCGAAAGCTGTAATGTAGCCAATACACATAAACAGTAAAATAAAAAAAATAAAAAAATATAGATGTATATATAAATAAGTTCACTGCTACTGTGATCATAGTATTTTATGTTAACTGGCCTTGGCCTATATAAAACTTTACTAAATGTAAATAAAATTTATGTGTACTAACATGCCTAAAGATAGAAAAAATAATAATCAGTAATTAACAATTAGGGTTCATAAAATTTTAAAAATTATAAAGTCATTTTCTCACAGAAGTTTTAATACTATAATACATAGTATTAAAACTTCTACTACTAGTTACTACTACTAGTAAACAGTTAATGAAGAGGCCTAAACTTTACTAGATTAGTAATTTTCGACTAAAGCAATGTTACAGATACTCCCAGTAAAAATGTTTTATAATTCTGAATAAAACGTTAGCTCAAGTAGAAAAGCGTAAACTAATCAGTCTATCGCACACGTCTCAGTCTTTAAGTATTACATTAAGCCTTGTACAAATTTTTCGTCCGTAGACTGAAATTCTTTTCGGCACCGGCAACTGAATATGTGAAGAAGTTGTTCTGGGGCGTTGTTGAGGATCGCCAAAAAACGGGTAAAACCGATGACAACGATCTCGTTAACATGTTGTTAAATTTAAAGAAGAACCTGAGGCTCCCTGCTGGCTCTGATACAGGTAACTTTGCACACCTATATCACAATAACTCACAAGTCATTTTTCGTTAAAAACGTTTCTGGTCAGCTTATATTTGAGTGGAACTTATTCAAAATTTGTTCTGTAAACCATCACCACGCACCAAACCATCATGCACAAGAAAGTAATAAACATTGATTTATTTTCACTACAGTATCCCCATTATCAATAGTTAATTAAATACGTTTAAAATCATTTTTGTGCTTCTTATTACTCTACCAACCGAATAAGGGAACGTTACTACATACATAGTTCAATAAAATAATATCTAGAGTCACGTAATGTCAAGAGGTACAAGCACAACGTACGAAGCACAATATACATATGGAGGAGTTAAAAAAAAACATTGCTACTCAAGTTTTTATTATTGTTTTTTACTATTAGGAAAATCAAAATCAAATATTGATATCAGGTTGTATACTCGTATATAGTTTTACTCAGCCGATTTAGGGGATATTTCTATCACTGGTTAGTTTAATATTTACCGACTTCCAAAAAGTGCAGCCTTTAACAGTCCGCTGCTGGACATAGACCTCTCCTTGGAAGGGACATAAACAAGATTTATTTAGTAAACATGTGTTCCCCCTTTTTTTTTAATTTTTATATTTTCTAACTAAATTATGCGAATGTTTTTAATTCTATGTAATCATCTCATTTTAGGACATCTTACACTTTGCTATCTAGTGCATACAGGGTGTAAGGGACATCGTAACGAATACTGAAATAGTGTTTTCAGACCATCTTTCTGCGTCTAAAATCATTTGAATTTTTTGACGGAAAATTAAACTTTTTATGCAATTAGCCGTCAAAGGTAAGGGCCATTTCCACAAAAGTAATAACTACATATGTATTCCGTGCAAACAGTCTACGCACACTAACACAAGATGGCGGCCGTAGGGGAGGCCCCGCGCTGTTTGATTAATTAAATTGCAGTTTTCGACCGTATGAGGTATTTATTGAATTATTTTGGGTAAAATGTTCTGTTTACTCATTGTGATATTATTTTTAACCAAAAAAATGGAAAATTATAAAAGAAAATTCCTATGATTTTTTACTTAGAATCATGGTCTGTATACACTATTTCAGTTTCTGTATTGTACTCAACATTTTATACAAGTAACTAAAAAAAGAAACAAGATCTATTCATTTAAAGAATAATGTTTCAGAATTAGCTGATAATTTAATGCTGGCTCAAGCAGCACTGTTCATTCTGGGTTCTGTGGAAACATCTTCCACTACAATGAGCTTTTGTCTTCATGAATTAGCATACAAGCCTGACAAGCAGGTAACATAAATTTTAGTTAATTTAATTTTTTAATTGTCATTAAATTAATTCATTAAAAATATTTCTTTCTGTGTGCGGCGAAAGATAAACGCCTTTAAAACATTGATAAACGTTTAAATGTTTAAAAGTGACGAAGATAACTTTTAAATACGGTAAACAATTTCGATAAAATTACACAGTTATTAAGACTTAATGTGTTGGAATACAATAAAAGCTGTATTAGAGCTAATTGGGTACAGCTAGGAATATTGTATACTGTATAAAATGAAAAACAAACAAAACCTGTTACTAATTATAATAATCTAATAATATATCATGTGTACCAGGACGCATAGACTTTCTAAAGCAGAAAGTTTATACATGGGCAAATAGGATAAGACGGTATTAAAAACGAATAGATTAGTTTAACTAATGGAAAGGGGAGAAACCGGGTCCATGTATGTGAGTGAAGGGTATTTGCCAGATTAAGATGCCACAAATGCATTTTGGCGCAACATCAGGTCGGTGCCTGTAACTCATACAGAAGGTGACTCGTTGCGGGATATCAGACGCTCATGTGATTCTACTCGTATAATAGCAATGGAACCTGTTACCCTCGATAAATATGATGTAAGTTGTGCAGTCCGTTCATTACCGAATTGGAAATCACCTGGTCACCTTTTGGCTTAATGGTTCCGAAGCTCACATGCGTGATTGGCATCCCAATTCTAGGCAGCATTGGATTCGGGTTCATTATCCCAATTTTTGAATACTAGTATAACCCATATAATCTATAAATCTGGGAGTGTCATGGATCCCAAAAACTTTCGACTTTTAACATGTTTACCAACTTTGTATATGCTTCGAACAATAGATGAACATCTATTCTGAGATTCAAAATTACTTCACACATTAATAACAATTCGATTATGTCCGTTTCCATTCCACATACATGACTTTTGAAGGCGCTGGAGTTGTATAAAATTGGTACAACTCTGTGCACTTTCTTGGAGTCATGTATGGGGCAATAGAGAACAGCACTTCGCTATCCCGGATGTCAGCAGACTGCGGTAAATGATGTACTAATTAAGATCGAGCAGGCTATATTTCAAGGTGATAGTCGGAGTCCCTTGTGATTTTGTCTGGCTTTGAACCCTCTATAAAAGGGTTCAGGGTTAGGCAGAAGGGTGATCGAGTTATATCTCGCCTTCTTTACATGGATGATTTGAAACTACTACTACTACCCACTAAAACAATTGACAGCGTGACTAAAAACTTTGGTAATTCTATCAAGATGGAATTTGGTGTAGACAAGTGCGCAATCATGTAAAGAAGGGCGAAAGCTTTTAGATTCAACATAACTCGGTTCTCTGCTACTGAAACCTACAGGGATCTAGGTATATCACAGTTCTAGGGAATACCAGAATCTAACATGAAACAAACGTTGCAGGAACGCTTCTTTAACGACCTAAAAAAAGTACTTAAAAGTATTTTATCAGGGGGCAACAAGGCACGAACTTGCAATGGTTGGGTCATGCTGGTTTTGATGTATTCCTTTGGAATACTCAGATGGATTGGATGACCGAATTAGATGCCCTTGGCCTGTCAAGGGCACCTAATTTGATCTGAGTAGCAGTGTATGGAATCTCCTGAACGGATTCCATACACTGCTGACTGTATTCTGAATGCACCACCCACTTTCAATATTTAGTTATAGATAGGATATCCCGCGAAAGTTTAGTGATCGCGGACTATTAAATTTCAAGACCCTAAAATCGCGAAATATATAATCTCAGAGAATATTTTTTACATACTGGTGTGGGAGTGCATCGCAATGTAGTTGCAGTGGTTGCCGGATTCATTCCTAAAGACTACTAAAGAGCACTCCTAGCTAAAGAGAATTGGCCCAAACCTGTAGTACTAATGAATGAACCCGGGAATCGAACCCGAGACCTCAGCACAGCAGTCGCATACGCTACCACTGTGCCACCGAGGCAGTCAATAATAGGTATACTTCGAAAAACACGATAAACTTTATTCCGTCATTCATAAATACGCGTTTTATAATTAAGAATGGTTCCAAATTATTTGGAGTATTTGGGTGTTCCCGTCAGTAATAAACCAGAGTTTGATTTCTTTTAAGTTTTTAGGAATGCTATTAAAATTTACTTTTTAACATGTATTTTTTTAGGAAAAACTATACACAGAAATCAGCAAAGCTTTAGAGGATAAAGGGAAAACAGTTTTAGACTTTAACGACTTATTAGAACTTCATTACCTTACAGCTTGTATCAAAGGTATGTTTGGAACATAAAATAGATTGAAACAAGAAAAAAACCTATTTTAAATAATGTTCTGTTCTCTTAATATTTTAGAGACTTTAAGAAAATACCCTCCGGTTCCGTTCCTAGACCGGGTGTGTAACAAGACTTATAAGTTGACCGACAAGGTGACCATAGAGAAAGACACACCAGTGTACACAAATGTCATCGCTATTCACTATAATGAAGAATATTACCCTGAGCCGTATGAATGGCGGCCAGAGCGATTCGCTATTACAACTGACAATGATAACTATGACTTTACATTTCTACCGTTCGGCGAAGGACCACGTTTCTGTATAGGTATGTTAATAATTGTAGCCTATAAAAATGTTCAAAATCCTCATAGAAATGCCTGCAATACTCTCAGCATTATCTAAATGTTGTTTAGGGCTTGAAAATAAATCCCAAAACGCACTTAAGATCTGTATTAAAAGAAAAACGTAAAATGCTTTAATGCTCAATTTGCAGACTTTTACAGTGATTGAATTATTTCCTTATATTCTGTCTGTATTATCACCTTACATTCTGTCTCTCAATTACTATGAAAGCCATCATCAATCATCATTAACAGTCTGTAACAGTCCACTGGTGGACATAGGAATCTCCTTGGAAAGGAATTATTGGCGTACTATGCTACGCTGGCCAGACAGGTTGGCTTAGAGTTTGTTTCAAGTTCCACTCGGACCCGATCCGGCCTCATGCCGCCCTGAGTGTGGCCGCGGGTGGACGGGATGGGTTCTCCCCTCCACCCGCATTAGTTTGGCCAGCCGCGAGGGGGCGGCGTCCGCGTGTGCTGGACGTCGCCTAAAGAGAGGTAAAAAAAACAGTTTTTGAGACGGAGCCCGCACCAATGGCGGGCCGGCGCTGGGAGGGGTCCAGAAGGCGATGACTACCTGGACCCCCCCTAAAACAAAACCGCAAAGAGGGCACACCGTGTGGTTTTAGTCGGTTCGAGGCCGACACACCGCCCCGCCGAACAGAGAGTCCCGGCGGGGTGACGGTCCGAAGGGATTCCCACACGTAAAAAAAGGGTTTGTTTCAAGTGTTCCTTGTATTTACAGTGCTGTTGAACTGATTGACTGACTGACTGAACTCTTACGAGACCTACATGATGAACAGGGGTAAAAAAAAGAAATAAGGTGGTAACATTCCGTACTCTTAATCCGCCACCACACGGAAAAAAATTGTAAAAGTAGCCATATAATATTCGTAATAGTAACAATAATACGAACAAGCGAAACCCCCAAAAGAACATCATTATTTTCGGTACCCGGTGCAAAAGAGTTTGTCATACTATGACTGCCCTAAAACGACAACGGTGTTCCATAACTTACCTATGATCGGGTGAGCGAGATTCTGTTGCTATTGTTTTCATTGTTCTGCAGCTCCCCCATACATGTATCAAACCCTGTCAGCCGCATTCCTAATTTTGATTTATTGCGGTCTACGGGTTCTATATTTGTAAATAAATTAATATTGTAGGTGATCTTTACAAATATTCAATAATTCTAAAATAATACTTATACAGGTAAACGCTACGGATTGATGCAAGTACGAACGGCAATCGCACACATAGTTATGAACTTCAGAATAGAGCCTGTTGACGACTACACTGTACCAGTGGACCCTTACAGCGTGATATTAGCGCCTAAAACCGGAGGCAGAGTCAAATTTATTCCACGCTAAATATGGTTGAAGAAATATTAAACGAAAAAAAAAGATGTCAGCAAAATGTTTAAAATATTTAATTATGATTACAAATTTCTACAAAAAATTGATTTTTAGTTATTCTGTTACTTTCACGACCACTGAACACAGTGCAAAATTGACGAGATTATGAATAAATTGTCAAGCAGTTTATCATGCACTATTACCTGCAAGCTTTTACGCTTATAAAACTTATTAAAATTTGAAAAGTCTTTATTTTATTTATATATTTTAATTTAAAATTTTAATGCTATTCGTAAATTGAAAGGTATCTTGTAGAGCTTAGAAAATTTTCATTTATTTCATTCATAATTTTGCATGACAAAGAAATATATCAACTGTTGCATATACTTGATTTGTTTTATTTAACCCTTGAAAAGATTCAAATGGTTTATGTTCAGATGTTACACTTCTATAAAAATTGCACTCAATAAGACGAAAATAAATTTTAATACATTTTATTTTAGCTTAGACTATAAGTTACATTATTACATTATTATTGATTTAGATTGAATTCGTAGCTGTAAAGCACAAAGTAAACAGACAGATAAACAGTAAACAGATTGCATTCAAGACAAAAGATCTTCTTCGGAGGGAATTAACAGAACAGTCACAACTAGTACTCGATTGAGTTTTTTTATATTAAATTAAATTTATGAATGTTTATGTATGTATGTTTATCTATGTATGTGTATTAACATAATTCAAGTTAAACTAAATATTTTATTTTGCACCTAAAGCATAATATTTCTACATAAGCTGACGGTCGACTGGGAGAGAATGCCTCATGACCTTTGTACAACATGTGCATTCAGTTTTAAATAAATAAAATTAATTAATAAATAATACACGTTCCTCTAGAACGTCTATTATCTGTTTTACAGTTTGTGTCTTAGTTATATTTCTGTGACCTGACGGGTTCATGTCCAATAAAGACTAGACGGATAGCAATATTTCGATGTTGACGGGGTCCCGTATCCATTTATCCGTTTTGTGATTGGAGAGGGTCCCCTCTATCATAAAAAAAACCCTCCACAAATAAAGTAGAAGTAAATAGTGTTCTTATAGAATATGTTTGGTTGCAAAGGAATATAGATACTACGATTAACTGATAAGATGGGTTAACATGGCCAGGAACAAACTTTGCAGTTTCAAAGACATTTTAAAGATAAATTTCGATGAAATTGAAGAAACATGTAAATGACTCAAGTGGAATTGAGGTAGCCGTATTGCACCAATGAGTAAGTGAAATAGAAAAATCAATGAGAACTACATGGATCATATGAGAGAAGCAGAAGCAGCAAGAGATGGCTAGGTGAGAATAAAAAAACTGCAAGAACAAATTTTGAAAAAAAATATGGAGGAAACTCCTACAGTAAAACCAACCAATTTCTGATGAAAACATATTAAAAAACTACAATATATGGAACAAGACATCAAAGTCAACTTTCTAAGGGAGAAAACCACGCTGGACCACAGCACTGAAAACCGAAGGAAAATTTGAAACAAACCCAACCCAGCGTGGCCTATGTCCAGCAGTGGACTATTAAACGCTGTTTATGATGATAATGATTTTACGAAATTACGAGAAAAACTTTTACTTTATCCATTAGAATAATTGCATGCTATTTTATGCCGTAATATTTCCTGTACTCATTGTTTTATGTACATTTTAATCATCTTTTGTACCACATTTAATACAAATAAATTTATTATTATTATTCTTTTTTCCTGAACTAAACGGTTGCTCTATAATTCTACATGGTTCGCTGATTATCTTCCAATTTAGAGAGCGAGTTGAGAATATTTAATTTATTTTAGACCTCACTTTACTGTTCCTTCGTCACCTTTATAACTAACTAACTACGAGTACCAACTTGTTTGTAAAACGCAATACCTCACTTGTGATTATTTAATGTCATTTTATTTAAGCTCTCTGGGACGTAAGACGTAATTATGTTTACAAGTGTTTTATTAGAGTTACTATTTTTGGGAGCATTGTGTTTTACTGTTTTATATTTCTACTGCAGGTATTGGAAAAAACGCGGCGATCCAGACGGTACACAAATGGTTTTACTTGGAAATCTTGGACATCTCATGAGCATTGTTAAGGCCGACATCCTGCAAGATTTGGCAAAAAAGCGCAAGTCTGACTACGGGGGAATATTTTTAGGGTAGCCTGTCCTAGTGATAAACTCAAAAGAACTCGGAAAAAAAGTACTTATCAAAGATTTTGACAATTTTCCTAACCTTTTCAAGCTATCTTTTAGGATCAGCGCAGACCGAGGGGAATAATCTATTGTTGTCATTTGCAGGACACCGTACCATATTTTTCATGTTCTAACATGTATAAACTTTATAGCAATAATTTCAGTTCATTTTCAAGGGTCTCTAAAAGTCTTCTCTGCTGCACTGGTTTTACACTCCTCAATACATTCGTTTAAGTAATATACCTGTCCCTTTCGCTATACTCCTAATTTCTCCGTCTTTGATTCCAATACTACTCAATGGTACTACCTCCAATTACAGAAGTAAAGTATAAATGACGAAATCTAATATGTTGGGATGAGTGCATGTCTGTACATAGTTACTGCAGTTATATGAAATATAAGAATCAATCTTCTGTTAAAACACAATTGTACAATTTGAATAGAAAATTTTCCTAATATTTTTACAGTGAAGAACATTAGATGAAGATATGAAAAAACAAGAGAAATGTCAGTTTAGCGTCTTTTCAAACTAATAAATATTGTACAATTTTTAAACCTCTAAAACAAATAATTTTGCAACAGGAGCTGTTTTCAATGTATGCATCTGACACAATTGGTAATACCGTTTTTGGACTAAAAGTTAGTGCTTTAAAGGATCAGACGTCACCACTGTGGTTCTTGACACGCCACTTGATCAAGTGAACCTTCTGGAAGGATTTTGAAAACAACAATGATATTCCTTATTACTGATATGGCAAATTTATGAGGTAAGTAATATTAGGTATGTATGAAGTCGCATTCTCCATTAGATTCATATCGTATCAAAGAATCACTTGGAAAAAATGAAACAGACAAATTGTATATAATTTATTCATCACTTAATGTTATAATACTAAATAGATTTTGATATAACAGGTATATTTATTGAATGAAATATACTCTTGCAAATCTCCTTTCTATTTGTCAGTCTTAGCTGTTTCACGAAAGTAAACACGTGGAAAGTTTACAACACAAGAAAGAGGACTATATTAAAGGCACAAAAACTGATAAAAATCTTTTGCCTAATACATTGATTGCATATACGTCTAAATTTACTTATTTTAATTTACATTAAGTTAGTTGATGTAAGTTGACAAACATGATAATATTTATAGCATTTATCAACTTTTTGTAATCGTAGTGCAAAAATAACCTACCTGTTAAATGACTAACACAATTTCTTTTTTTTTGGCAGTTGCCTGAGCCGAAGATAATTTCAATCTAAACAAATAGATAATTATACTAAAAGTAGCCTTTCTATTTTTCCTAGAGCAGGTTATCTAATAATAGCTCAAGCTGCAGTGTTTATGCATGGGGCTATTAAAACGTCTGCGTCTACCCTGCATGAACTCTCATACCATTCTGAAGTGCAGGTAACCCATACCTACGAACATTCTCGAGAACTAGGTCGGGCACATACCTGTAGTTGGCACCTCTAGATTTACAAGTTGGTACTTAAGGGCAAGCTGTTGGTATACGATCCTGGCTACTTGGTTGTGCCTGTGCAAATATTTACCGTTAGCAAGACGAGAACATATATATTATTATTATTATATATTATTATTATGTCCTCCGGGTCAGTGATTTTTTATCTGTTTCCGTGGGTGTCGTAAGAGGCGACTAAGGGAGAAAACTACGCAGGACAACAACACTGCAGAAAGAAAGAAAACTTGAAACAAACCCTATACCAACCCGTCTGGCCAGCGTGGTATAGTAGGCCAAAACCTCCTTTCTAAGGGGAGGCCTATGTCCAGCAGTGGACTATTAAAGGCTGTTGATGATGATGATGAGGAGGTCAAAATTGACTAAAATGAACGACTATGCCCTTGTTTCCTTTATTTTCGAGACTTACTGTGACACTATAGTGTCTCTCTATTAGACTAAGATAAACCGCTGGCACAAGCTGTTTTTAATTGCTAGAGGTGCAACTCATCAAATCAGTACCTACTTTAGAGAATCATTAAAATTAACAAATAAACAAAATCTTTAGTTGGAATATCAGTAAAGTTCTCAAAGTTTTGGTGACGGATTAAGAACACGGAGTGTCGCCACTCCTATTCATCCATGGAGCCGACTAAGTGATCAAACTTCGCAGAATAACAGCACTACAAAGAAAAGGAGAACTTGAAACAAACCCTTTTTTTTTTTTTTTTACGTGTGGAAATCCACTCGGACCGTCACCCCGCCGGGGCTCTCGTTCGGCGGGGCGGTGTGTCGGACTCGAACCGACTAAAACCACACGGTGTGCCCTCTTTGCGCTTCCAGTTTAGGAGGGGTCCAGGTAGTTATCGCCTTCCAGCGCCGGCCCCGTCTCAAAATGTTTCCTCTCTTTAGGCGACGTCCGGCACACGCGGACACCGCCCCCTCGCAGCTGGCCAACTAATGCTGGTGGAGGGGAGAACCCATCCCGTCCACCCGCGGCCACACTCAGGGCGGCATGAGGCGCAGGTAAGCGCGGATCAGGTCCGAGTGGAGGTCGTCCTACCGGGCCTTCTCCGCCGCCTCCTTCTGCGAGATTACCTCCTCGCAGAAGGTTGCGACCGCGGTAAAACAACTGTCGCTACCGGCCATGGAGCGAATTACGGCCGGGAGCGAGAGATCTGCTCCGATGACTGCAGTGAGGGCCAGGCGCTGCGTCGCCCATGCGGGGCAAACCGCCAGCGTGTGCTGGGCCGAATCCTCACTGCAGTCGCAGTGGTGGCAGGCGGGACTCGATTCCCTCCTAGCGAC